CGCTCCTGCAAGTTAGATTTTAATTGGAAATTTTATGGTATCAAAACTGATTTTGTTCAGTAAGTTCCGAGCCTTGTGCACTTGTGCACTTGTGGGACCCGTCTCACGAGTGCACGGCGTCTGTCGCGCCTCGGATTCGGGTTCTGGGGCGTGACAGAAGTAATAAGATTGGTTACCTTTTTGGGTGCCTTATAGCATGAAAAGTAATAGACCAGGATACTTGAAAGGACAGAATTTAATAGCACAATGCGGCCTCCAAAGGACAAATTATTGCACCTCCAACTAGATAGTTTTTTCTCAAGTAGTCAACTATAGGTGTCTAGGTAGATACTTTTTTCTTATTTGCACCCACCAGAGCTCCCAAGTATTTAAATGGTATTGAACCTACCACACAATTTAATTTCCCAACAAAAGCCTCAAGTTCAACTTCATCCATATTGATACCATATAGGGCACTTTTTTAGAAATTCACCTTAAGACCAGATACAAGCTCAAAGCTTCTCAGAATGCATTTTATAGCCCACACATTTTGAGTTGAGGCTTCACAGAAGAATATTGAATCATCCACAAATTGGAGATGGGAAATCGCAAAATTCCTCTCACCAACTACTGCTCTTTTAAATAGATCCAACTCCACAGTATTTTGAATCAATCCGTTCAATGCCTCAGTCACCATTAAAAATAAAAATGGAGCAAGGGGATCACCTTGTCAAAGCCCTTTTGAAGTTGGGAATTCTTCTGTTGGGCTCCCATTTACTAGCACTGACAGCCTAGCTGAGGATAGGCATTCTTTGATCCATGCCCTCTACTTTGTACTAAAGTTGAACTTTGCCATCATACAATCTAGGAAGGACCAGTTAACAGAGTCATATGCCTTTTCAAAGTCAACCTTGAAAACTAATATCTATTTTTTGTGCCTTTTTGCTTCATGTAAGATCTCATTTGTTATGATTATGCCATCTGGTATTTCTCCTTCCAACAAAAGCTGCCTAATTTTGACTGATAATGAAATCCATCACCTTCCTTAACCTATTTGCTAAAAGATTTGAGACAATCTTATACATACACCCAATTACGGAGATTGGCCTATAATCTCCTAGCTCTGTTGAATTTTCCTTTTTTGGAATCAGAGCTATAAAAGAGGCATTTCCTTCCTTCACCATTTTCCCACTTTCATAAAATTCTGCTATGGAAGCACAAATGTCTTCTTTTATAATTGGCCAAACTTTCTTAATGAGGTTGAAGTTAAAACCATCCGGCCCAGGACTTTTATTCCCATCACAACTCCACACTGCTTCCTTGATTTCTTCTTCCGTAAATGTAGATACAAGCATCTTGTTGTCTTCCTCACTGATTTTCTTAACAGGAATTGTTCCTATGCTTGGTCGATTCCACTTCTCCTCCTTGAACTTTCCTCGAAAATAATCATGTATTGTTTGTTTTACTTCTTCTGGCTCCTCAAACCATTCCCCATCCTTCATAATGCCTTCAATCCCACATTGTTTACGCCTTTTAATGATGCACCCATGAAAGTACTTTGTATTGGCATCCCCCTCTTTTAGCCATTTCTCTCTTGATTTCTGAAACAGCATTTTGTCTCTAGCCTTGCTCCACTCCATGAAGTTGTGGAAACAAATTCTTCTCCTCTCAATTTCTACTTCTGTAAGTGAATTGTCTTCCCCCTTTTCATCTAGACTTCTAATCTCTGCCTTTACATCTTCCAATTTTTTTTCAATAGATCCAAACACAAGCTTGTTCCATGCTTTTAGCTCATTCTTAAGCATCTTTAATTTTTCCTTCATTTTAAAGTTGTTCCACCCATCCACACAGAAGCTGCACCATTTCTCTTGCACAAACTCATAAAATCCTTGATGGCTCAACCAGCAATCCAAGCTTCTAAAAGGTTTCGGTCCCCAATCAACAACTAAATTCTTTAATAATATTGGGTAGTGATCAAACAAACTCTACACAAGCCCCTTTGTGTGACTTTAGGAAAGTTAGACAAGAATTCCATAGACAAGAGAAATCTATCTAATTTGCTCATGCTGTCCCATCTAGGCTATACCATGTGAAGTTTCTACCTAGCAGAGGGATATCTTCTAATTCTGCATCCAAAATAAAATTGTTGAATTCCCTTATCTCAGCACAATCAAAATGCCTTCCCCTTTTTTCCTCCTTACTTCTAATTGCATTGAAATCCCCTCCTATGCACCAATTCCCTCCTCCTTGTTCCCTGATCAATTCCGTTAGTTTTTCCCATAGAGCTCTTTTCCCTTGCTTGTCACATGGTGAGTATACATTCACAAAAAAGTAGGGAATAGCAGTCTTCCCCAAAAACCAAACATTCCACAAAATCCTCTGCCTTCTACCTTTTTATTGAACACAAAAGTATTAATATTCCATAGGCATAACATACCTTCAGAATTCCCCTGAGATGGTTGTAAGACCCACTCACAGTTGTCGGAGCCCCAAATAGATTTAGCTACTGCAGTGTTAATAGATTCCATCTTTGTTTCTTGTACAAATAGGATATCTATCTTTTCCTTTCTAACCAAGTCCTTCAAGCCTCTTCTCTTGTTACCACCCCCCAAACCTCTAATATTAATGGATAGAATCCTCATGGTTTAAAAGTTGCAACCCCTCCTTCTGTAGCTTTTGTTATTTTTAATTTTGCTAAAGCTTTTCTGTCTCTTTTTTCCATCTCACCTAGTCTTCTGATTATTTCCACTGCATTCCCATCATTAACTAAGCCCAGCTGTTTACCTATATTCCACAATTCCTCTACTTCTACCCTCCAATCACTTCTTTCCCCTGGATTATTAATTGTTTCCAGGCTCGATGTGTCTTCCTTGAAGCTATTATTCTTAGAAACACTTCTTGACTTCAATTCTTTCATGATTTGAGACCCCCCTCGCTTTCTCTTTTTCCTCTGTTTCAATTGCTTGATTCTCCTTCTCCTACCTCTTGCCAACCTCTCTATCTTTGATTGAAGAATTTCATTCTCACTGGCGAGCCACTCCCAAAAAGGTGGTGTGATCTTATCATCTGTTGCCTAATCTTCATTAGCAATGTCTTTTGTTTCTTTAAGCTCCTCAGTTCCTGCTTTCCTCAACCTTGAATTCCCTTCGTCTAATCTAGAGGCGATGCCAATCTCTATCCCAGTTATTTCCATTTGGGGGTTATTCGCCTAATGTCTTGGTTCCTCATTCTATGTATATTCTATTGTGGTTTTCTCCATCTCATGGCCCACTTGGAATTCATCTAGGCTCAAGCCCAAGCCCTAATTATCTTGACTCAGTTTTGTTGAGTGCATGTTGGAAATTGCAACATTATTTTCTTGTGCAGTTTCAGTTGGTTGCTTTACAGCTCCTAACCTTACTTCAATATCTTCACGCTCTGGCCCCACCATATCTATCATGACTTCCTCCTTGGACTTACCAAACACCATCAACGAGTTTGAAATGTGGGAAAGATCATTAATTGCATTTCCTGTCCACTGCTTCATTTTTTAAATCTTTTTGATTTCCTCGCAGGCAGCCAGAGTGGTATTTCGTCCATTCACCATGGATTGGGCTTCCCTTGGTGCTTTGTCTTCCTTGTTATCACCCAATTCAATCCATTCCTCCATTTCTTTTTCGCTATCAATTGGTCCCAATTTTGAACTATTAGACCAATCTTCCTCACTTGACACATCATCCCTGCATAATACAAAGTCTGATCGTAATGTGAACAAATTATCAACCCCCACTTCTTCAGAAATTCTAATTTGAAAGATAGACTCCTTAGCCTTGATCTTCAGAACCCTTTGGGTATTTTCTTGAACTGGGGTTAATATCAAGATCTTTGCAACATCTAACCTTGTCTTCTTTATGGTATTACTATCCAGAGATATGAACTTCCCGAATAGACATGCCACTGTCTCAAAGAAACTGCTTTTCCAAATGTGTAATGGAACCCCCTAGCACCCCAACCATGTAAATCTTTCTGCTACTACCAATGTAGGATTCCATGGGCACATGTCGGAGAATCGTTGCCTAAGCCACTCACGCCCTTTTTCCACTAAGTGCTTGAGTTCCTCATGGTCTTCACATGTTAACAAAACTAGATTGCTTCCCATTGGTTTTATCTTCGCTGAAAAGTATCCCTCCATCATAAGCTTACCCTGTAAAGTGCTGATAATTTCTGGACTTTTTGCAAAGCCAACATAGCTATTTTCCAGCCACTTGGTGTCTTCATCCTCTACATGGACCTCCTATCCCTTCCATTCCTCTAAATCTACAGAATTTTGAGCCTTCATTTGCCACATTTTTATTTGGCTAGATCTCCTTCCTGTTTGATAATCAATCTTCCTTATTCCTTGTTTTACAGCCTCTACGTATGATAATCCTTCTCTGCTCCCTGTTGCTCTTGGAATGTCGTTGCCTCTCCATTTCTTTTCCCTTGATCTTTCCTTTAGGAATCTTGCCAAATTCACATGTAAAAGTTGCTAGCCAACTTTATTTGGTTCAGCTTGTGCTCTAATGAACTCGGATTTGTGACATTCAAGAACCGAACAAATCCAAATCTTCATCCCCACCTATCTCTCTTCCTTGCAATGAACACATGGATTGCCCTACCACAACTCAAGAAAGCTCTCCATAGCTATCTTTCGTCACATTCATCTGGGACGTCAGTAAAGAAGTATGGAACTACCTGCTCAATAATTCCTTTGCAGTACTCGCACGAAAGCCCTCTGAATCCTCTGTGCTTTTTCCTTTCTGTCCTTTCAAATCCCTAAATGTTTCTTCTTTGCTGGCTAAGGTTTTTGGTTTGGATATGGTGTCTCTCCCTCACTAGGTTGTGCTCAAGGTTTGGATCTATCTCCACCAGCAATAATCCACCGCCTTGAGGTGGACAGAGGTTGGTTGCTTGGTTTCTCTCTCTCTCTCTAAGGGACATCTCGAGACTCTCACTCACTTGGTGTTTTAATTCATGATTGCAGGTGGCTCACACACAATGAGTAATTATTTAATATTGATTATTAGTTTTTATATTGAAAAGAAGAGATTGAACCTTGCTTTTGGGTCCAATGATTGTCTCTAAACCTTAAATGCTTGGGTGTAGTTGGTTGGGAGTTCGACTCCCACCAACGATTCGAAACTAAATGCTCCATCCCCCAAATTCCCCTATGTTAAAAAAAAAAAAAAAAAAAAGAGAAGAGATTAACTTTTTGTTTTAATTTTAAATGTTATGAGTTAGTTCTTAGTAGTCTATTTTAAATTATAATTTAAAATTTTTCTGTTTTATTTAAAATTTTATTTTTTTTAAAGTCACTATTATTAGTTAATAATTACTTTTTATTCTCTATATCCTAAGACAAATTCTAAGTTTAAAAACTATATATTTTATGACTTTAAAAAGTTTAAGAACTACTCTCTCCATTTCAAAATACTAGTCACTCTTATTGAGTAATTTTATTTGATTAAAAATTTTTAATTGACATTCATGTACTATGAAAAAAACATAAGGACATGGTACATACTCCCTGCGAAATTATACACTCCGTTACACATAATCTAATTAAAAATACATGTGAAAAAATCAAAAGATTTATATTTTGAAACATAGGGAGTAATTTTGGAGCTTTTGAAACTTTAAGGATCTAATCAGGGTATTATTGAAAGATGAAAAACAATTTTGGATATAGAAATGATCTATACACACTAAGTTCAATGCATTTTCTACTACATTTTCGGTACAACCATTAAAAATATAATATAAATTTAGTTGATTCAGTCGATTCTTATATCTTATGTGCATAATTATATTTTTACTTGTTTGCCTTTAATTTCAAACCAAGAAATAGTAACTTTTTTATAAGTGTGTTGTGTAGTATATTGTGTAGTGTGTTGAATCGAAATGTATACCAATCACTATCCATTGGATATTTTACTTATCCTTTTTTTACCTTTAAAAGATGATGTCCTTATATTACTTTTGCCAAAAGAAAAAGGTGCCAATGGGTAAAGCAAATGAGCTAGATTAAATCAAAATCAATGAAAAAGGAAAGGAAAGGAAAATGATTTGTACACCATTGGTTCAACATATTCTTTTTGACACACTTTCAATTCAACCATTAAAAATATAATATAAATACAGTTGATTTAATCTATTTCTATATTCAAATTTGTTTATGTTTAATTTCATATTAAAAAATAATAATTTTTTAATGAGTATGTTATATAATGCGTTGAACCATAATGTGTATCAATTACTATCCAAAAAAAAAAAACCGACGAGGGACGTAGCTCTCTTACCAACTTAGGTTTAAAATTTCCATCTAAGATAGGAGAAATAATA